TATATTCAAATGAAAAAATAAAATAAAAAAATAAAATTCAATTGTAAATTGCTTTTATTGTGCCACAAAATTTTACATATGAATCATAATTTTAAGAGATTGTACTTTTAATGTTCTTAAATATAAAAAACTAAACACTATTTACCTTACAAAAATTTAACACAATTGTCAAAAACAATCTTACTGCTTAAATTACCTATTGATAATTACCGGTTTGGTACTGATAAAAAAATCTAGGAACGTGACTTACTTATTTCAAAAGATTTGGTCTTTAATCATTTTAGAAAATCTTATATTTATGTTCAATAACTTCAAATTATTGAATATAATAAACCACGATTGAGATCACTTCCGAATCACAAGTTTTTCTAATTGTCATTTTTTGTAACTAACGTCTATAAAAGCCACGGTGTTAAGCCGGAATTATACCACTCTGACAAAGATCATTAACATCTTTATATTTCTGTTTGTCAATAGGTTGTGCTTCGTGATAAGCTACTGTGATATTATTTAAGCCAATTGTAAGCTCGTTTTGTCGATTTATTATATTTTTACTGGAAAAACATCCAATTGAATGATAAGCATCGTCTTCAAATGTACATTTGCATTTATTTTAAAAAGTTCTTCACGTGATATATGTATTTCACACATTTGGTTTCACATAACGATTTCTCCGTTGGTACCCTTTAAAAAGAGGCAGACAACTTTTAAAGTCAAATGTTAATTCTTGGGAAACTTCTGTGACTTTATAAGGCAATTTTGGCAGCTTTTGCCATACGAATAGCCATATACCATTGCTCAGGTGTGTAAATAGTAACGTTTTTCGTTCTCTTTTCAATTAGAGCATGCACGCTATCTCCCTCATTTTGAGTGTGCCCAACTACTAGAAAATGATGTGTAATCGTTATGCTATATTTTCAGCAAGCGTACATACATGAAAAATACAATCCTGTTACGATTTTGGCCTCCACAATTGTCGGACCAAAACCTAAACTCTTTAACATTATCTTGGAGCTTTGATTGAAATAAATTTAGTATATAACTGGCAATTTCATTTGCTCTTTTTTTACCAAATTGCTCGTGCCAACAGTAACAATAGCCTTGAAGTGAACCCAAATTAAAGGCTGTGAAATTATATACGTTAAGTTTTCTTTTGTATTAAAACACGCTTACGTTTACGTGAGGAGTCGTTAAAGCTTTTAGTAAATCAAATTCAATAGTTACTATTTGTTTGTTATTATTTGTACATATATCTTTGACATTTTTTTTCAAGTCTCTTGCCCTATTTTTTCTACCAAATGCCAAACATGTTTGGATTTTTGTTCTTCGGATGAATTCATTAAATTTTCTTAAGTGTGACAAGCATCACATTTATCTTTTTTTGTTATGTGAAACGCTACATTGAAAGTTTTTTTAACAATATCACGGTATTGTCGAACATTAATAGCTTTTGCCGCGTGTTTGGTAACGTCAAACCACTCCGTATACAAATCGAACATTTTAGGACAAGTGAAAGTACCCTCAAGATATAATTTGTTAGATTGTTTTCTTGTGTAATGGCGTTCTACAGGAGCAAAGGATTTAACGTGATCTCAAACACTTTTTATAGTATCTGACGTTATAGTCTTGGATGATGACTTTGCTTACCTCTGCAATCAGGTTCAATAGTACCGTCTCCTTGGTGAAACTTTTTCAAAGCCATGTTTAAAAAATTATAGCTGATACCTAGTGTGTTTAGGAACATCAACTTATAAACTGGTTTTATGGTTTTAACGTAATTTCATAGGTATTTTCAGTATTTTGCCGAAAAAACAAATTTGATAGTGCAAGTCCTCTTGGAATCAGACTTTGTTACTCTGTTTCTCATCTCTCGTTTTACATATTTTGAAATAAAATCCGATTGTCGTGTATGATTGCCTATCTTCTAAATTATATTAAATATTTTTCCCACACAGATTCGGTAAAATGTAACGTACTTTTGTTTTTACATGTTATGGTGCAATGTGATTTAATATTTTTTTCTGATTTGATTTTTTCACTTCTACTTTGGTATTTTAAGCCACGATTTACACTATATTTTCGTTTCTCGTCAGCCCACACACTTTTATAAGTTTCCCGCAACTGACCTTTATCTTTTTTCTGATCAAATTTACTCTTACGATTACCTGGTGTGCTTACCGGTGAGTCGGTATAATCTGTAGGTAAAGGCGAATTATCGCTACCGAACTCAAAACAAATATCGGTGTCCACTGGAGAAAATATCACTAAAGGTGATGGCATCGGAGTCAAAGCTTCTAATTCGGGTGACTTTTCTTTTTGCAAATCCATATTTCGCGAAGACTTTGAATCCCGTATTATGCTTGGCTTGCTTGATTTTCGGTCACGCACATCTACGACAGCAGAAATTCTTTCTAGCTCGACAGAATTAGGCGAAGAGGGGCTTCGCTCCAGACATATATGTATTTTCGTAAAGCACAGTTTCAGAAAACTCTTCTGGTTCTAGAGAATCTAAATCAATATTTTCTATAAATTCAATTTCATCCTGTAAACATTCGGCTTCTGGTGATAGCGGTGAAGCTGAAAATTAGTATATAAAATAATGATTAATGCACATACATCGATATGCACCAGTAAATACGATTCTACAAATAAAAGGTGTAAACTAGTACACTGGTGCAACTGACAAACATTCTTTAAAAACCGTCGTTAAATTAAAAAAAACTATAGACAGCACGTAAGTGCTTAATTATAGAATAAACTTAATAAAATTACTTACAGTTTGATTCCCGGTCTTGTGGTTCGTTTAAAACTAATGCAATAATATTCTTTCCTCTCGACCGCTTCATTTTAAAATATTACGTGTATTACAAACATTAATTAATTATACACAATACGGCAATTGAATCTTACACACAAATTTAACTTAATTTTATACGTAGTAGGTATATTAGACGTATGCCGCATCAACAGTCTCTTGAGCATACTGGGGCAGTGCCCGCATGCGTCGATGATAAGCCAGCATACTGAAGCAACTTCAAGTTACACCACACTTACGCCACTTCCACTAAATCTGCGTCGCGTACTGTGGTGCAAGTGACTTGGCGCAGTATACAACGTACCGGGTTACAAATTGGTGTCATATACATTTTTATGCGTCATTTTATTTCCGAAATTAAAAGGAATTTCACCACGCAATTTTTGTGGCAGATAATTATTATATACCTATAAGTATTTTAATGACAAATATGTAAAAAAACGAAAATCCCAAAATTGTCACTTGCTTCAGTATACTTAGGAGGTGTAGAATTTGAGGGTATGGAATGCGATAAGTCCTTTTACTGATGATGAAAGTACTATGGCTTATAACACTAGTTTGTGTTATAAACCATAGTACTTTCACTTGTATTTTCAATAACGTTTTTAAAGTTGCATTTTAAGTAATGTTTATTCATTATGTTGCTTTCGACTTCAACGTCGCTTGATATCAGGTAAGATTATGATACAGTGTTTATTTATTTTACATTATAAAAAATCATGTTAATTCGCCTATATCAATAAGAGACTTTCTTTTCTAGTGGCATGTTCAGTTTACTAGGTGTACTGGCCATTTGTGGTACAATCTACGATATTTGGAATATGCTTATTCGTAAACGTGGTAAGTTCTTATTAAGCCAGTTTTCGTGTCTTGTTATTTTAAACTTCTAAATATGTCAAAAATATTTGATTGATATTATTTGATTGAAACAAAATATCGTCTGAAAATAAATGCACTTTATTGTTTTAGATATACGACTGATAATAAATTACTTTATTTTAGAAATTGGAATGTTTAAATGATTTTGAAAGTTAGCGTGTCAGAGTAACTTGTATCGTACTGTGGTAATTACAATAGGGTAGATTTTGAATTTTGGAGAAGCATTGTTTAGTTTTTGTAATTTTTATTAATTATTTATTTCAGATCCCAAGGCATTGAACAAAATTAATCTGGCGTTCTCAGTGCACAGAAATTGTCGCCGTCTTATTACATATAAACCAGTTCGCGGTGCTTTAGAATGTGTTGACGGTATTAGAGCAATAACTATGGCTTGGGTTGTAATCGGGCACACATTTGCAACAGCACCACATATTGTTAATATGCTGGACGTTTTGAGGGTACTTTGATGTTTACTGTATTATGTATAATCCATCACTCTGTCACTATACATAATACGAATTAAAAAGACAGAATTCTAAAATGCCTAAGATCCTGGTATACATTTTTCTATTTACAATATTATTATCTCAACAAGCCGTGGTAGCCTAACAGTTTGAGCCACAGCCTCTCAAACAGAGGCCCGTGGGTTCGAATACGGACTCGCAATTCTGAGTTTTCACCTCTGTAAAATTTAATTTGAAATCTACTATGAGCTTTTCGTTGAAGAATAACATAGTGAGGAAACCTCCAGGTCGAAAAATGTTCACAACCCTCGGAAAACGTATGAAGCCTCCACCCTCAATTGGGCTTGCATTGAGGACTATGGTCTAAAGCCTCAACTTAGAGGAGACCCGTACCCAACAGTGGGACGTGTAAATGATGATGATGACTATCTTAAAATCCATTGACTTAAAGCAAAAAATATATAATTTCACTTGTGTCAGGGTTCTTTATCTGCACGAAGCCCACCATGGACGGTGCCACTATTTTGCTGTGTTCCGGTATGAGGAGTGGGGACAACCAACATAATTATAGACACAGAATTTTTAAGATCTTATGTCAGTCGACCGGCAACACGCTTGCAATATAATGATACTCTTTATCATCGCAGATATAGGCTGCAGCTATCATTATCCATTGGGAAATCTGCGTCACTGTTTAGCTCTCTCGGTACTATTAATAACCCTGAACTTAGAATAGGTAGCTGTGTCCGTATTAAATGGTTTGATAACAACACTCGTTATAAACTAATTTCTTCATATTCTATTGCAGTGGGGTTTATCTTCAAGTTCGATATGGGTGATTGCAGCCCCAATTGCTGTAGACACTTTCTTCTTACTAAGCGGTTTGCTGATTGTCTACACTACTGTTGGGAAACTTAGCAATAGTAAGTATATTTTCAGGTATCTCGACTATCTGATGTTAATTTAATTTCATATCCTTTTAAGTTTTGTCGTTTATTATTTTATAAAATTGAGACATTTATTTGTTTATTTGTTATAAAAATGCTTAACGCCCCATCTATTTGTAAATTAAATTCTATGTATTTATATTGTACCATTCAGGAAACCTACTTTGTTGTACTGTACTACTGATGTTCCTCGAAAATTATTGAATGCTAAAAATAACACAGTTCGGGTTATGTGCAGGTCGGATATAGGTCGTCAATTATTCTTATAATTTGAAAAACTAAAAGTCTCAACGCATCACTAGTTAAATCACTACGTAAAGTTTTTTTTTTGTAACGACCTTATGACTCTTTGAAACCAGTAACTGTGTCATATACCGCGACAGAAAAGACAATTGCTGGAATCGTGGCTAGAGTATTTGTGGCTTGGTCTCAACCTGCCATTGCTTATGTTGTAGTCATCAGACGTGCCAATGTACCATTTCACATTAAAGCACTATTGGTGCAAGCAAAGAAATTATGAAATAGTGTAAAATAACGGAAAGACGCACATATTGAATCTGTACAAATAAGATTTACCACACTACAACAATACAACGAGTCTCTACCAACCAACGACAAAATTAAATTCATTTCCACCTTATACCACCTCACTACTTTCTTGTTGTATTCAACAATGTACACAATCTTCATAGATCCTTTTGTATATTTTACAGTGAAACTTTTAAAGAAATTCCATCTGTTTTACCTCAATCGAATTCTACGAATGTTTCCTCTACTAGCCAGTACCATATTACTGCAAGTTGGCGTTTTTCATTATATTCATGACGGTCCAAACTAGCACGAAGTAGGTGAAAGGACCCGAGAGTGTAGAATAAACTGGTGGTCAACATTGCTTTATGTTCAGAATTATGTACCACCAATAGTATGTATTAACGTTTTCTTATATTTTGTGACAGTATTTTTAGAATATGTAAAGAAGATGCATGTGATTTAACATGTCCACCTTAATTTTTTTTTATAGCTTTTAACGTTTAAATTCACTTACCTAATAGTACAAGATATTTTGTATTTAACGGATCAGCTTAATCTGTAAATATAATGATATAGTGTCATATACCTTGCTGTAGACGCTAATAAATATTCAAGAGTTTTATGATAATTCTCTTGAATAGGTTATATTTAAGTGCCCATTATATGAGATTGTTTGTTTTCAGTGTCTACCTCATACTTGGTACTTAGCAATCGATATGCAACTATATATTCTGTCTCCACTGATTTTATTCTGCGTATTGTCTGGGAAAAAGAATCGTGCCTGGTCGGCTTTGATTGCTGGATTATTAGTTTGTCTCACTGCGTCAACAATTTACAACTTCTTGAATAATTTTACTGGAACAATGTTTCGACCTGCGTAAGTATTGTTTGAATATGAATCAATTGATTGAAACCAATCTTTAATATCCTTAACTGATTTGGTTATACGCCGATATAAAGTATCATATTTCCTGATCAAAATATTTGTCCTACCTTTTACAACTTTTATAGTTTCCGTAGATAGGTATTTATAATTTCATAAACCAGGTCATAAAGGCGTTCTTTTTACGTCTGAACCAAAGTTCTATTGTCTATGTTACTCGCCACTGAACTGAAAATTTCATTATAGTTCTATATCTATCTAGTACACTGAACTATTATGAGTTTTAAAAAAAGAACCTCGTATTTTTGCTAATTAAAACAAGATAAAATATCGAATAGGACGCTACTCAAACGCTCTACTGCCACCCGAGTGGTTGAAATTTAAGCGGTACTTGGCCAATCACGGACATTTCCTTTCTATCTCTTGGGTTTTGTGGCGTTTGTTTGGCTTTCGTTTGAATTTGTTGTCGAGAATTGTTAACAAAAATACCTAAATTAAATATTGGTTGTGTTTCATTATTTTAATTTACTCATAGACAAAATATTGTATACATGAATTACTTAATTGTTCATTACTTAGGCCGCTCGGCAAAGCCTTGTGGCCTAAACACACACGTACACACGCACCTAGTATTTTAGTTCTTTTAATATAACTCCTGATCATTCATCTATATTCATCCCACTTCGGGGCACGGATACTATGTAAGGATAGATTTTAGGTCATACTCCAACAAATCGTAGTTTTTTGAAACTTGTGCGACATGCAAGTATACCATGATGTTTTTCATCGTTGTAATATTGATTATTACACTGTATATGTGATTTTAAATTATCTATGGTTAAGGATCTTTTGGTGGAATTTAAACCGAGGGCCTCCCAATTAGAAGTCAAGCTTCTCTTTACGAAGCTATAACTGTTACCTATTTATATGAGCTTTTCTATTTCAGATTAAGCATGGAAGAGGGTCAAAGATACTGGAGAAACTATTACCTCAATACTTTAACAAGATGTTCCCCTTTCGTTGTTGGAATGTGCTTTGGGTACTTGATCCACTATTGGCGTGAAAATAATATTCGATTGTCAAAGGTAAGACGAACTTACTTAAGTATTGTAATGGATTCAATATAACAATGCGTTGCGCGCTGCTACAGCTGTCCCGCTTCTGTAGTGTGTCAGGGATGATCCCAAAAATACGCGTGGGGTGCTGAAGCCGCTGCTACTAAAGCAAAACACGTCACTGGTACTGGACAGCCCCGACCCCATCCTGCGCTCGTTAGCGGACAGGTTAGACCGTCCATACATGAGGCATTACTGTGAATTGCATATTTTTAGCAGATTTCTTTATGGGTAATTTTGTTTATAATTTTCCCGAACGGTTACCATGCTGGACTGCCACACAGAGGTCCCGGGTTTGATTTCCGTGCCGGGAGAAATATTTATATGGCTTACATTTATTCCTGTCGTGAACTTGGGTATAATATTTATGTGGTTGTCTACCTATGCGTGTGTCCATCCATCCACCCGCGATACAGGGTTTCCCTAGCGCAGGGCTATGAGTGTGTGCGATATAAAAAACAACAAACAATATTATTCTTGTAATGTCATTCGAAATAAATTATCATTATTTATTGTAAGTATTACATTTTTTGTACAAATCTAACACTGTAATATGTCAACTTTCGGAAAATGAAGTTTAAAGTTTGTGAAAATTAATTAAAATTTAAAAAAAAGCAAAATTTTCGTTTAGTGACAGTATGATGTTGAATGTGCGAAATGTTCGTGTTATTCACAACATTATTTAGAAAAAACTACATCCAAAAGACACACAGAGGTACAAAATAATGTTCCATGGAAATATTATGTGTCGACCTTTTGAATGAAATAAAAAATCTTTATACAGACTTTCAATGTCGCATCGATTT